TCCTGGGATCCCTAGACAACCTCGCCAAAGTCAGGTCAGCTAACCAATCAAAAGATGTAGCTGGCCAGACTTCAGCAAGGCTGTCTATGGATCCCAGGACAGAGACGACTAGTGACCCTAGCTTTAGGTATAATAATGAAATCAACTAGAAAATATGGCAGAAGAAATAAGTTGTATGACAAGAAATTTTATTTCACATATGCCAAAATAAGCTAATATGCACAGTCACCTGAAGGTACTGAAAGAGCTCTGTAGTTTTTCAGTGCCTATGATAATAATCTGGGTGAAGCATTTCAGCCTGGTTATTGCATGGTCTAACAGACTGATAAAATACTGTAATGAAACATTTCAAGGATTTTGCATTTAGATCATTCATAATGGAGCAGTAAGAGAGACATCATTTTTGTCTGTGACTTCCATGATTGCAAAGATCACTACTCTTTTGTATCAATGCATAGAAATGTATTTCAATCTACACATAATGATGAAGGCGAGTCTTGTGATAATATGTTTTGCAGTTTTGTAGATATCTTTGTGTGTCTCAGCAGGAAATACCAAGCACAGTGCTAGAAAGCAGATTCAGTGAGTCTGCTGACTGCATATGTTGATAATGTGTTACAAATTTGCATCCTTACCACTTACATTCCCCAGTAACTTCAACTCTTGCAAACAAATCTGTTATTTTATAATCACAGAGCCCTACTTTTAAGTTAAGACATATTTCCTTAAAATTTGGTTTTGAAAAAATTATGCCCATTTGTGAGTGTTTCATTGAAACCTCTTACTTGTCCTGAATTTTTGAAGTCTTAGCATCTATGGAAAGGCTGAAATAACATTCAAGGAAGAAATCCTTTCACCCATCAAAATCAGGAGAGAATTTGACCTGAAGTCTTAGGTGTATGAAATAAAATTTCCTGTCATACAACTTATTTCTTCTGCCATATTTTCTAGTTGATTTCATAAATTGGCAAAATGAATATTACACAACATTATTTAATAAAAACCATCTCTATCTTCTGATGGTCTTGTAGAAAAAAATGTAGCACATACAAACAATATGAATGAAAATGTTAAAAAAACCTAATTCTATCTCCAGAATTTGAGAAATAAATTTCCTTGGAGTCGGTATATTCTATTAATATGAATAAGAATGAATAATGTAAAAGAATAAAAGAGACAAGTCATTATACTAACCACCAGCCAGTGAACCAAGAGTGAACCTGTACACTTGTTCAAGCACCTGGATCAATGCTCCACGCTGCTCTGGACTATGGACAGCTTTGATGTCAGTCAGTTTACGTGTGATCACCTTCATGTACTGCTCAGGAGTTAGGGCTTCCAAGTCACTGTACACAATTTTCCTGAGGGACAAAAACTGGTGTGAAATATAACTAATAATACAACGTGAAGTGTAAAACTTAAATTGTGAAAGAAATGTATAGAGGGAAAAGTTTCAAAAGGTGAAATCTGCCTTTATAACATGCATACTTAGTAAAAATTTCCTAATGACATATTTCACACAAAATTTAAATATCTGACAACTGCAATACTCTGGAACTTTCCTGATCAATATCAATTCTACTTAGTTTAGTAGCACAAAGTGTCCCATCACTGTTAATGATTACTGCAGAAACATAACTATGCAGACTGTACTGATCATCTAATTATGTAATAAGCTAAGTATAAGTCATAGGATTTTCTGCCTAACAACAATGCTATCAAATAAATTACAGGATACTAAGCCTTTTTGACATGTTGTATTAAGAACTGCCACTTACGCCTACCATGCAGCTGGAAAACCACTGCAGGAGAGAGACTAGTTTATTATTAAGAGAAGACACAGAAATAATTTTATCTCACATACAACTATTTGTATAACATGAACTAATAAATTCTATGCTATTATAAGGCAATACCTGTAATGCATCAATCTTAAGTATCATATAATAACCTATATGCAATAAGGTCATTACAATCACATCAGAAAATAAAGCAACTTGGGGGGGAATAAAGAATTTCAGAATACAGCCATATTTTAAATAATTTTCCTTTGCTAAATACACTATTCATATCCCATTGTCTTTAATAAGAACAAAGTGCACAATCACATATATTTCTCCTTTATAATGCCAGTGTGAGCTAAGTATACACCAGTGTAATTATTTACATCCAATCTTGTTGAAGTTGATACACAATATAACTTAATATCTGAAACTTCACACTTACAAAAAAAAAAGAATGTATTATCAATATTTACTTGAGCAAAACAAACACAACTGTCTTATGCAAAAACATTTTTGTCTCACATCTACTCTAAGAATATTTATCTAGATACCATATCAGAATCCTTGGATATGTTCTTTGTTAATCTTTTGGGTAATGAAGGGTGTTACAATACTAAAAATGCATAACAACAACAAAAATAATCTGTTAAAAAATCAAAGCTTTATCTTCTTTTTTTCTTTTACCTTTCATGATTGATCATCTACACAGTCTACCAATGAGCTGTGACATTGATAAGAAACACTTTCTCTACTTTCTATCTTTTTCTAATGTTCATGAACAATAAGTAAAATATCCAAAAACAATATTGTCAACCTTAATGTCTAATACTTATTTCATATCTTTGTCACTGCTTATAGAGGCTATGCCTCATAAAAAAAAAACATAAATTTTATCAGAAAGCATTATATGCAGAAATACACAAGCAATGGCTGAGCCTTACAATGGTCACATTACAATTAACAAAGTTACATGCAAGTGCACCTACACCTGAAATTTCATTATCTTAAATACTGTTGTTGCCTTTCTGGCTTTCCTTCAAATTAATCACTAATTCACAGTTAAATTTTTAAATACAGAAGAAAATGTCACCACAAAAATTGGTACTCTTAATCCTATTACAATTCAATGTAGTGCAATTGAAATTGAACAAAAAAAATGCTTAGAACTACTAATATATATATAATTCACCACATTCATAAAATTCTTCCACTTAAAGGACACACTATTCACGCTAGTTTCTGTATCACACAGGCAATGCAAACACTTACCATTCACATCCATAAACAAGGTATGTCCTGATACATTCCTCACAGCCAAATAATTTCAGATAATAGAAAGCCTCATTATATTTGAATATTTTTTCCCTATTAACTAAAAGAAAATGCATGAAGGCGCATCTCATAAATGGCATCCAGTCTACAGAAAATAAACAAATAACAAACACACATTCATACACATATCAGATTAAATAATTTTTCTTCATCTGTATGGAATTGATTGTGTTTTCTAAGATTTTGATAATATTTGCTCATCAAAACTACCTATAACGTGAAACTGACTTTATGAAATGGTCTGAACATGTGCTAAGAATTAGTGATGCAAAAAAAAAAAGCATTAGCACATTTATGCACATTTCAAAAAGGAAACAAAAGCTTAAGGTTATGTATCACATACATTTAATACACAATGACATATGTAAAATACATACATAATGAACATAGATGAATATATACATGAATAGGACTCAAAATACAATATACAAGTATTGAATGCTTACTTGTTTGTGTGCCCATGTGGTTGAGACTGTATATGTGTATGAGAATGAGAATGGGTATGTGAGCAACTGCAGTCATAAAAGAGTAAGTGTCAAAGTGCACATACCACAATGAAGTATGCTATAATGTTTACATCAAGACAACCAATGCCCTATGTCATCTTCATTCTGATGTTATAACTTTCAATCTCTTATACAATTCCCCTCATCACTGAATATCACTAATGTACCTAAGAATACAGGATAAAATTTAACACATGATGCTATTTTTCTTTGCTTAGGTTATATCTTCATATCCCTACACACTACAGGTTCCACACAAGTCTTTCAGCCTATTGCTGAAAAACTGTATTGATCTTCAGTGGAAGCCTTCAGTGTCCAAAATGTTCAAAAATATTTTTTTAGGCATAAAACTTACAAATGCATTTACACTTTAAGCTAAAAATGATTATCCATAAATATATGAAATCACACCATATAAAACATATGCTCAACTTATTAAGTACTCCTTCAAATCATAGACCTCCTTAATTACAGTATCAAAATCAAACAGAAATATTCTCCAAAATCTTTGTCTTCCTAAAATATTTTCTTCCCTTTCAGTCAACTCCTGATGGGTATCTTCACACTTGTTACTTTGCTTTTGTTTTTCTTCCAGGTATGTTTTGAAACAAAATACAGTACCTGTAGATAATATAGGGTAATGTCTATACACAAGCAGCAAGTAAGAAAAGTATACTAAAGGCATTATAATTTTACCATTTCATCTCCACTACTTAGTACACCCTTCCTGATGCCCCTTAACTCCCTTCAATCTGTGGCAGTGATAGAGCCAGTATTTGAAGACTTTCAGAGGGCATCTTTCCCTATGACTCCTTAATTGCTGCTTCATGATTGTGAAGAAAGCTGATATCCATGTTTTGTATGTCACATTTAATCATGTTACTAAAGTTCTCTATGGGATTGATATCTGGGCAGATTCCAAGCTTTTTCTGTGAGGCAGTTTAATCAAGATTCTGCCATATGGGCAAGTGCAGAATCATTACAGGACAATTCAAGAGTAGGTAAATAATTACAAAATAATGCAAAATAGACTCCCCTCCCAGAGAAAGACCCCAGAACCATCAAAGATTATGGGTATTTGACTATCCCGCATGTAAAAAGAGGTCACTTTCCACACAGCTGAAAACATTTTTACCTGTATTACTAGTGACAGTAAAGGCAGCTTAATCAGTCCACAAGACATTAAACAACTGCTGTTCACTCCTAGTGAGATATTTCAGGGCAAAGTCAGTGCTATGCTTCTTTAGTGTATGAGTGAGAATAGATTCCTCACAGCACGATGACTCCTATAGCCCTTGTGTCTTCGTTAGCCTCAGGGTGAGGGATGTGGGTATGGGTGGCCACCCTTTCCCTGTTCCAGTACCTAGCAACCCCATAGATTAACTGATCATTGAATGTCACCTGTTAACTCTGCAAATTCCTTCATATGGTGGCCTGCATCCTACAAAAGCAACTATTCTGGAGATGATATCCTGTGGTAATTCTTTATCTTGAAACATGGTATTGAATCATTCAAAGAAATATTGAGTGCATGTCAAGGAAAAAATACAATCATGGGGTGTTACAAGTGAAGACAGTATCCCCTATAAAGAGCCACTGTTTTCCTGCATAAAAAATACAGGAAAACAAAATGTGAACAAGAATGGTAGCTAACATTAATATTTTTTTCACATTCCAATGTGTGCCTCATATTTAGCAAAAAATAGGCTTCATACACCTTCTCACATGACTGACTCAATAAACAACCTGCAATTTCATTGAAAATGATAAACCCATTGTCAGACATACCTCTAAACTTAAACTGGCAGAGCCATTAACCTCTATGATTCAAGTGACATGTATCTCAAATTATGAAAAATTTGGGTTTACGGCCAAGTGACATGAACCCTCCCATCTTACAAAAATTTGTCTGAAGCTGGGTTGATGGCAAGATGCTGTCATTGTTATTCTTATTACATTAAGTTATGGTGTTTGTGCAATGAAAACAGTCCATTACCATCAGGATACAGCATATCACCTGATAAATATTGATATTGGAAAATGGCAAAAAGGCAAAAAATGATTTTGCAGAAAGAAATAATAACACTGTAAAAGGAAGGCAAGGAGTCTTGACACCACACATGACTGCTTGTATGCATATGGCATTCAAGCTACCCACCCATCAGAGTGGCCACTCAAGTAAGCCTAATGCCCAGATTTTGGGCCATGTGCAGGCAGTGAAGCACCCTGATCCAAGAGGTTAACATGAAACTACTGAAACTTTAATAACAACAATAAAAGATAAAATTAAATTTAATTGCTTAATCTAGCAAAACATAAGTAAGCACAAACTGATCTTGTGCATAACATATAAGGATGACTAGTCATCTCTGATGATCTGAAGACGCCCCCGTTTGGGGTTCAGGCAGTACCCTTGAAAGCCATTGATTTTGGCAGAGGTGCCCTTGATAGACTGGATGCCCTTCCTAATATGAACCATGATCCAGAACAAGGATATGAATATTCAACTACAGCACTATAAGGCAAGTCTGGACCTACTGAGTCATGTTGGGAGCACAAATAATCATTGGTATTGCATGAAATCAGTAATGACATAGACCAAAGAATGACATACTCAGGGACTTCTTCATTTTTATATTTGCTGTGAAAATTTGCTCATTGTTTTTAACTTTCTGAATAAAAAAATCCTATACAAACTACATTGCATTTTCTGTAAATATGCATACATATACAAGGGCC